TGGGGCCGGCACCCTACTCCTTTGAGCCACAGGCATCGCCCCTGGTATGTTCTTGTTTTGACATCTTGTATTAGTATGAAAACTTTGTGTCTTTGCTATAAAAAGTATGCAAGGTCACAATTTATATAACAATATAAAAAGTCTACTCACGTTAAGGAAAATCTGTATTTTGTGGTATTTGGGGAAATTTGTTATAGATATTCCTAAGACCATTTTTCAACATTTCTGATTATGGACATTAATAAAACCACCCATAGTTGTTTCATTCGGCACAGATGAACTTAAAACAGAATCAGAGCTATCCCACCAGTTAGGTATTCCTCACCCTTGTTATGTGTTACACCCAGAAGGTGCAGGCAGCCCAGTACACAGTATGACCCTAAGACGTGGCAAATAAAACTTGAAGAATCCAAATACAACCAACCTCTTCTTCTTTTGCCCCACTCTCTGAGAGAGATGTCAATGAAGTTGCTAAAGCAGTATGAAGAAAAAGCAGCAAGCCCTCTGCTCACTCCCTCTCAATCCAGAAGAGTTAATCATAACCTTAGGTTTTTTTATAAGGAAAATCAAAGTAATCTATTCTGACAATGTAGAAATGGTCCCATTTTCTTTTTTCTTTCTTTTTTTGGAGACAAAGTCTCATTTTGTTGCCCTTGGTAGAGTGCTCTGATGTCATAGCTCACAGCAATCTCAACTCTTGGGCTCAAGAGATCCTGCCTCAGCCTCCAGAGTAGCTGAGACTACAGGTGCCTGCCACAATGCCTGGATATTTTTAGAGATAGGGGTCTCGCTCTGGCTCTGATGGTCTCAAATTTGTGAGCTCAGGCAATCCACCTGCCTCAGCCTCCCAGAGTGCTAGGATTACAAGCGTGAGCCACTGTGCCCGGCCAACATTTTCAAGTATATTGCTATTAAAGGTTCACAATACTTACCCAGGTAAAAGAAAAGGTATGTTTTCTTCAGGATATTTCAAGAAACTTAAAATGTTTTTAAACTTAATAAGCCAACTTCTGGCTACTGCATAAGATGAAACATCATAAATACTCATGAATCTAACAGAGAAAAACATATATGTGTGTTAAAATAAAAAGCAAGTGTTACGCTTTGGATAATATAAAAGGAGAAGTTATACTCAATGTGAACCTACTAAATACACTCAGTCTCAAGCCTCTGTATCCACCCAGCCATCTCCCACATGGTTATGGGGGGATATTTTCAGCATGAGACTCCTGCTGCCCCTGTCCCTGCAACCACTCCTGACCTAAGGTAAAACGTAAGTAGAGATTCTCTAGACCAATTCTTTGCGGTTAAGAATCAAGCCTCCTTTTGTCCTGGGTTGCCTAGGCCAAGCCTCTCCAAGACCCTGAAAGCCCTTCCCAAACTTTACCCCAGGAATGGATGATAGATTTCCCAAACAGATCACCAGGCTGCCGAAATATTAACTCACCCAGCCAGGATCTCCTATCACTGCTGCCCTATAACTAAGTCTTGGACCATCCATACCTAATGTTTGCCAGGATTGTGGCCAAATATCAATAAATGTCTGACATTGAGCTTTTCCCACCAGACATAATTTCATTTATCAGCACGAGCAGTTGGGTCAATTTCTCCAAAGCCTATTCCATCCCAGGGACCAGTCTAATAATAGCCTCTAGGCTTCTATACCTCCCCTATCCATAAATTTAATGGATATGGTATAAAGGTAAAATAATTATAATAGTAATTGAAGGTTCCTTTTTATGGACCCCCTAATCTCTTACCTAATTACACTGCAGTCGTATCTTCCTCCAGAATCCCCTAATATCACCAAGATTATAAAATTTTAGGGGGGAATAAATATAAATAAGTAATATGGAAAATATATATGGATGGGCAGAAGAATGGACAGACAGAAGATAGATGGATAATTGATTGGTCAATCTGGACATTTAATTTTGTTCGTTCATTCTTTATCATCTATCCATTCAACTTTGGAAATACCAATTAAAGAAGTATTACACTCACTTTCCTGGGATGGGGCAAAAGCTTTTGGTTGCACCAATTAATATGCGGGCTGCCTGTGCTCCAAGGATTCCATCAGTACACTGTTTTTCAAAGCTACTCTAAACATAAAATTTTACATAAAAATTACACAAGATCAAAACATAAATGTAATACACTTTTCTTAACCTTTACATAACCCTCACTATTATTACTGAAACCTGCATATGAAAATATACTATTATAAGAAAATGTTACATTCAATATTCCCTCTAAAAAATGCTCTAGTAGGAAATACATTTTATTCGGTTCAACATTCAATATTTACTGAATACTCATTTTTAACAAAGTATAATCCTGAATGCTACAAGAGATACAAAATGAAACTCTACAAAACTTAGAAGCTTGCTGCAGTAATATAAGTGGTATTTAGTAGGTGCAGTAGCAGAATAGAGTGCAAAATGTTAATACAAAGTGGAATAATCATTTCAGCCTCATATAGAACTATCAAAAGAGAAAGACAGGGGCGGTGCCTGTGGCTCAAGGAGTAGGGCGCCAGCCCCATATGCCAGAGGTGGTGGGTTCAAACCCAGCCTCTGCAAAAAAAAAAAAAAAAAAACTGCAACAATAAAATGATTTGAAAAAAAAAAAAGAGAGAGAAAGACAGACTATATCCTTGTGTCAATCCTCCCCCCCCAAAAAAAACAGAAGAAAAATTACATCCTTTGCATGCCACTGACTTTAAACTCAGAGGTTAGAGTGACCTCCTGGGGATACTGCCTAAACTTTCTTCCTCACATACAGATCACGTACTCTTGTGTATTCATTGTTTAGAAATATTATCCCCAATCTCCACTACATTTAGCATATTTTCTTAAGTTTTACAATTTAAGAATGACAATCCCTACAAGCTAGGAGGGAATTCCCTACACTTATATGTCAAGATGAGGGCCATCCATTCATCAGCTCCTTTACCAGGAGACAGAAAAATGATCCACCAATAACGGCTTTGATAATACACATGTAAACTCCGAAAGCTGCCTTCCAAAGGATATGCTGGCAGCCAGACTATCCTTATCTGAGGGCACCTGATGGGTTTCTCCATCGTGTAAGCCTCTATGATGGTTGCGGCAAGGTGCAGTATATATACATATATTTATTTATTTATTTATTTATTTATTTATTTTTGCAGTTTTTGACGGGGGCTGGGTTTGAACCCACCACCTCTGGCATATGGGTCCAGCGCCCTACTCCTTTGAGCCACAGGCACCACCAAGGTGCCCAGTACAAAAAAACGTCGTGTCCCCGAAGTTCATCCCTGAGGTATAATGCAATTATTAACACTTGTAGTGTTTCCAGCCCTGCCCATCCAGAAGTAGGTCTGGCTCAGGAAAATTATAATTTATTAATATGATATGTGTTTTTATTTATTCATCCTTTAAATAAGCATTTATTCATGCTTACAATGTCCCAAGCCCTGTGTTAGAGCAATGGAAGTATAATCCAAGGCCTTAAGGAGCTCACAGCTAGTGGGGGACGTTAAAAGTTAGATGCATATAATTATAAAACAGTGTAGGAAATGCAAGAGGATGAAATTAAGTACAGGGCATCGATCAGACTTGATGTGGAGATGGCGTCAGAGAGAAATTATTGGAGAAGATGATACTTTCTTGAGTTTTAAGGCTGACGACGATTATCCAGGTGAAGACTAAGGAGAGTGGGGCGCAGAGCAAGGAAGGTGAGCAGAGAGTGGCACCTGCAGTGCATGCACAGAGATGGGAAACATTACGCTGAGTGCATGGAGTAAATGACCAGTCATGGGGCAGAGAATCAGTCAGAAAAGCAGGCAGGGGTCAGGCTTTAAAAGAACTTGAATATTGCACTTAGATGTAATCTCAGGGGTGAGCTTTTCTCAGACTGTGATAGATGCATCCTAATGAGATAAACCTGAAACCCACACCCCCAGAGAAACCATACCAGGTAGGGAAAAGGAGGTATTGCATTCAATATTCCCTCTTGGAGAATCTCAATGTATGTCAGCATATTAAAAACTCTGAGAAGTTCTACAAGATGTTCCAAAAGAAACCTGTTTAACATTGTTTAAACCAGCATTTTCCAAAGTAGTTTGAGCACAGAAACTTTTTTTTCACGCGGTCCTTATCAACAAATGTGCTTTGGAGCTCACATTTGAATACGGAGGCACTGAAGAGTCGGGCAGGGCTTTAAGCAGGAAGGTGGTGAAGTCACATCTGTCTTTTAGTATGTCACTGTAATCGGAGAATGGAAATATTGGCTGGGCATGGTGGTTCATGCCTGTAATCCTAGCACTCTGGGAAGCCAAGGCAGGAGGATTGCCTAAGCTCACGAGTTCAAGACCAGCCTGAGTCAGAGTGAGACCTCGTCTCTAAAAATAGCCAGATGTTGTTGACAGGGGCCTGTAGTCCCAGCTACTCTGGAGGCTGAGGCAAGAGGATGGCTTGAGCCCAAGGGTTTGAAGTTGCTGTGAGCTGGGATGCCACAGCATTCTATTGAGGGTGACAAAGTGAGACTCTGTCAAAAAAGAAAGCAAGAGAGAAAGAAAGGAAGGAAGGAAGGAGAGAGACGAGTTGAAGGATATTATCCAAGCAAAAGATAATGATGGCCCAAATTAAGATACACAGGATGGAAAGGGGTATATTTAACAAATATTTTGAAAGTAAGAATGATAGAGCTGAGGGAGGGGGGTCTGACCCAGCAATCACACAGTAATAGGGCCATCACTGAGACCAGGAATACGACAGAGGTCTCGGGCTCAGGTCAACATGGATTTGAGGAACAATACATCGTCCAGGAGATGATGTTGAGCCACAGCTGGATTCATGAGTCTAAAGAGCTGTGGTAAGAAGTTTAGAAGGAACAGTACAGATTTCAAGAGAACTCATGGATACAATTAAAATCATGAGTGTAGCTGAGAATGAAGAAGGAGAGACTATAAAGTAAAAGCAGTAGACAGAGTTAACTGTCCTAAGGCCCACCCACGTTAAAAGCAAAAAAGGACTTCATGGAAGAGGCTGTAAAGGAAGGGGGTCCGAAAGCAGGAAGGATGCCAGAGTGGAAGGTGTTCCTGGGAAAGCCATTCAAATATGGCATGGAGCAAGTCCTTCCATGAAATTGTTGGTCAAAGAGAGTAAACGTGGTAGGTCATTATCACCATGGCCCCAGCGCATCCTGCCTCCCTGTGTCCATGCCCCTTTGCAACTAGCATTGTTGCTCCTCCCATCCAGAGGTGGAATCTACTTCTCCACTCATTGCACCTGGCCTGGCTCTGTGATTGGCTATAATTAATAGGATGTGGGTAAAAGTGACATTGCTCAGGTTTCAGAGCTGGGACTTAAAAGGCCTTGCAGTTTCCCATCTCGTCCTATTGGAACCCAGAGACCACCATGCCGTGAAGAAGCCCAGTCCAGCCTGCTGGAAGAGAATAGGCCACACAGAGGAAAACCACAGTGCCCTAAAAAACAACCAGCCTCCACTGCCAAACCTGTGAGTGAAGATCCACTAGACCCTAGTTGATCTGCGAGATGACTGCAGACCCACGACTGATCCCAGGCAACACCAGGTTCCCAGCCCACAGAACCATGAAAAATAATAAACCATTGTTGTTTTAAGCCTCTAAATTTGGGGATGGCTTGTTCCATGGCAGAAGCTAACTAAAACAGAAATGAGTACCAATAGTGGAGAGGTCTCTATAAGTTAAAATACATGGATGCATTAACTCTGGGCCTGGGTCGGGGGCAGCGGTGAGAAGGGTGTTATTGGAAGCTGGAAGAGCAGTGAGGAAACTGCCGGGGGAGGCTGGAGGGAGACAGCTGTGCCATGAAAAGATGGAAAAATTGACCTGTCACCTGAGGCAACCTGGAAAGTGTTGATTTTTTTAAGCTCCATATGATAAGATACAGAAAGACAGAAACAAACAGATAAGCAAAAATTGCATCAGCAAGGAGAACTGGCAGGGCCATCCAAGCTTTTGGCTTCTCTGGGCCACATTAGACGAAGAGTTGTCTTGGGCCACACATTAAATACACAAACATTAACAATGGCGGATGAGCGGGGGGAAAAAAACTCTATGCATAATTTTTGTGATATCCATCACCACAGATAGGCAAAAAGTCCCCATATAATCTGCATGGAGCCCACAGGCCACAGGTTGGACAGCCCAATCGAGGAAACATAGAGGTTATGATTTGCCAGGTTAAAAATAAAGTATGCAACTAAACATTTATCACATTTATGAGATAATTGAAATTTTCATTATTCACTCAATATTTGATGTTACTAAGGATTATTCATTTTTAGGTCTAACAGTATTTTTGCTGTGTTTTTAAAAACACTTTAACATTTAGAGATCCATACTAAAATCTATTTACAGATGAAATGATATGACAGGTAGGATTTGTTTCAAAATAGTGTAGAAGGTGGAGGGCTGAGTGAGGATGGGGATAGGGCAGGAAAGGTCATGTGTGGATTTGTAAGGCTAAAGGATGAGCACATGGGGGTTCATCACACTATTCTATTTACGTGTGTATATTAGGAATTCTCCATAATGACAGTAAGATTTTAAAAGAAGAATAATAAAGAAGAACTCTGGACATAATGAGTATTTTAGACACTTGGATTGAATACAATTTGTTCTACTTTAATATTACATATCGCCCCCAATTTAAAATGTACAATTTGATCCGTTCATTTAAATTTGATTTTACCAAGTAATTTTCTTATGTTTATAGTAGAACATAGGAAATATTGGTATTAGAACATTTTAAGAGAAGTTTTGGTTCATCAGATTTATTTTAATTTATTGTATTTGTGTGTGTGTGTGTGTGTGTGTTTTTAACTTAAATAGATTTAGAGGATACAGTGACTTTTTGTTGCATGGCTGAATTGCATAGAGGAGAAAGCTAAGCTTTTAATATACCTGTCATATGAATAGTGAACATTGTACCTCATAGGTAATTTCTCCTGTACCTCCTTCCTACCTTCCCCCCTTCTGAGTGTCCAGTGTCCATCAAGTCACTCTGTATAACCATGCATACCCCTTGCTTAGCCCCCACTTACAAATGAGAACATGCTTCCCACATTTGGGGAAATTGCAGGGTTTAGCACA